AAAACAATTATGTTTTCCCTTAAATACTCATTTTTAACTTCACGTTGCTAGCTATTGCATTTTGTAAGGCAAAGCAATATTGGAAGTTACTCTTGACACAAATCAAAACTGACCAGAATTTTGCACTAAGGAAGGAGAACAGGATTAGAACAACAAAAGGATCAGCCATTCATTATTTACAGAATAGTGTGATGTCATGGAATATGTTAACCAATGACATGCAATGAGGCCTGATCTCTCACCCACTTGGATCTGTAGTACACACAGTGGTTGTCATGACAGAATGCCCAGCATTTTCAAGGAGCATTTCACTCCTGGACATACCTGCTCAGTTCTTTTTTGATCTAGGCTATAATTTGGAGTCAAAACAATCTAATAGAGAAAACCTTTAGAAGCAAATTCTAGGATCCTAACTGCTCACTTGGCAGTAACTCCCATTAAATTCATTCAGTGAGACTTGCAGTCTAACTCTATGAATGCTGACTCATGAGTAAGAGGCACTTGGTGCCATAGGATTCACACCTCAGCCCCACTTTCATCCATTTAAATCTGGTGCTGGTAAAGCAACAGAACTGACCTGTGGGCCTTTGCACTTGTGCGGTGTCTAAACTGGTGCAAAGCCACTCTCTGCATCTAGTTAGCAAGCCAGCACAACTCCCAGTTGGCTACCAATCTGGACTGCAAACAAAGTATCTGTAGCTGTTTGGCACAATTGGCACCCAAATTTACATGAGACACTGTAAGTGCACAAAGGGCCACAGGTGGGTTCTGTTGCCTCACCAGAGTTTAGGGTTGCCAACTGCCCGGAGAGGAAAAAATCCTGCCTCCTTAATAGAGGCTACACATGATGTCATTTATTTTTATGTATTTAGTTACATCATTTATAGTCTGCCTTTCTCACTGAGACTCAAAGTAGATTATACATTGTAAGACAAATACAGCCAACAGGATGTGATGTCGAATAAAGAATACAATAGAGTTTGGGCTATTGAAATCTGAAAACAAGCAGAAATCTAAAAGCAGAGCTGGAAAAAGGCGTAGACAAAATATAAACATTTAAATATGACACTTTAAATGGTGTAGTTCTACAGCAGATGTTGTCTGTCTCCATGCCATGAAAAGCTTCACCTGCCTGTTTCCACACATTACCTCTCTTAAAGGCACATGGGATTTTTCTCAAGGTTGTTGGCAACCTTACTAGTGTTGTATTTAAGCCAAGCCTTACTTCCAACTATGAAGACAGGTCTGCAGTCTTAACTTCCAAGTAAAATTGTTTAGGCTATTTGCCAACAATATCCAGGCCCCAGAGCATAGGATAAAGTTGTACCCACTCTTGAGGAACCAACAAGGCATGCAGCCTGATCCTACGCTCCTACGCTTGTTTCCACTTGGGAATAAATCCCAGGCCACTGACTTTGTTGAAGTGCGCACAAACCTTTGGCTGTGGAATCTGCAAGGGCTGAATACTTGGACTGAGCCATAGAAATGTGCAAGTAAATAACTTTATCTGATCATAAGCAGTGTGTCTTTCCTCCAATACTCAGGGGCAGATCTACTCAGATGTAAGTCATATTTTGATCAGTGGGCTTACTCCCAGGAAACTGTTCTCAGGATTGCACTGAGTCACTTTCACTAACCTCCACGTATCTGAGTTAGTGCTTATAGGTTAGGGTATATGGCTTGCATCTACACCCTAAACTAAAACGAGTGAGGCAGAGGTCACATTCATTAAAAAAAAATGTTATTCAATCTTTGTCAATTATTTTATGGCAAATCATGATTGCTGTGAATTTTCTCATTTAAGATTTTTAAAAAACACAGTAGATAAAAATAGATTTCCTTCCTTCTGCTCTGAATCATACTACAAGGCAATTTGATAAGCGGTTAAGAATTTCATTCTTAACTGTACTTACAGCATTAGTATTATTATAAGCAACAATCTTATCCCACATATTCATCTCACAGTAGTATAATCCGCTGCATGGATTTAAACTGTAGTCCCAGACTCCCCTATTCTGCGTGCATTTACTTGAAAGTAAGTCCCACAGAATCCAATATAGCTACTTTCAAAAAAGTGTACTTAGAAAGAACTACATTTTGCTGTTTATTTTCTACCTTTGCTTTTGGAAATTTCTCCAGTCCTTTCCTTTTAAATTTTTTTCTTTATATCTTCCTAATTTTTTTTAAGCCACTTCTTTGCAGAAAGTGATTACGGAAAGAAGGGTTTGGGGATGAGGCGGATCACCTCTTTTGGAGCAGGCGCTCCTTTTTTCTGTGAGCATCTGCCTGGGGGGAGAACAGATGTGGGCACCTGCGGTGACAGGCCGCATATGTTCCATCCTATTCACAGGCATTCAGACGTGGCTACAATGGTAAGCCTTTGTGTACGCAAAGTCACTAAATATATTAATCTGTGTTCCCCAGAGCACTGCTCTGTTTAATTTTTTCACAAGCAATAACATCTGATCTAATCCTCCAATTGGCTCCCCATCGTGCCTCCATCCCACCCCCCCCAAAAAAAAATATGTGAAGTTATTCAGGCTTCCACCTGTTGCCTATGGGATTGAAGGAGGTTATGTGATCAGGCAACTTCAGAGAGGAACTCATCCCTTAAGTGTGTAGTGCCTGTGAGAGAGATGACCCAAAGAAAGTATTTTTAAAACCCATATGTAATCCACTGCCGAAGAAAAAACTTCCCAAAGAAGGCACTGTGCCCTTCCTTACATAACTCCTGCAAGGCCAGGAGGACAATGGTAAGGGAACAAAGCATAGCCACGGCTGCACCTTTTCTGCCTTTTGCAAATGGTCACGAAAGTTCCCATGTGAGGCTTTGTTTATTAAACTCTAGTGCTTATTAGAAACACCGGTCAATAGGCCAAGCAGCCAAAAGGTAACATAAATCTCAGATGTAAGACTTCGATTTTGGGGACAATTTTTGTTGCACGACTCTTTTCTCTTATGGTCGCTTCTTCTGTTTTGATTTGTTTTCGGCCACAATACATCCTTTAGTCCCATTGTAGCAGGCACAATGCCCATGGATATCAGTCTGTGAATGAAGACAGAAGCAGTTTAAACAAACCAGCCTCTTTCTTTCCTCTCTGCCCATTGTAATATGAATGAGCCTTCTGCATTCTGCTGCTAGGAAACCATCTTTTTAAAGCCCAGTTCCAAGAAAGGGACACAGAAAAAAGAACCCCAATAAAAAGCAAAAATGGGGGGGAGCGTGTCGGAAAGGTGGGGATTATTTAAACAAATATTTTTAAAAGCAAGTTTAAATCTGCAAAGATCAGAACACGTGTTTGGTTTTAGAATACGATCCCTTGATATTGGTCTTTGTTAATAACATATAAGCACAAGGATTATTTTTTAAAATGAAACTAGCTTCATACATGTATGAAATTGTATAGTATTTATGGGCCTTAAGTGTAGCAAAGTATAATTGCAAGCAATATTCCTTTTAAGAAAGGATGAAAAGACCGAAATCTTTCCAATGGGAGGATAATCTAGTCATCTTGGCTAAAGGGATCAGAGAAAACTATCGAAGACAAAACCACCGGGAAACACTGATATGAAACATATTAGAAGATAAAAGCATTGTAAGGAAAAGCACAAGAAGTAGGGCGGAGCTCGACCGCAAAACAAGAATCTTGTTTTGTGGTTGTACGCGAAAAATTAACACGTAGAGAGATGCTTATGCTAATTAACGCCACCCTCAGCTGGAGGAGGTCTAACATTCGTATGTGTTACACGTCTATGTACAAATGCGTCCAAGTGTCGCTGGATTTGGTTCTCTGTCTTGCGCAGTTTATCTGCCTCATCTGCACGGTCGCCCCGCTCTAAGGGCGTGGAGGGCGCCGGGAAGGATGCTCCGGCAGCTGGTGGGATGGTCACGTGACCAAGTCGGCACTTGCCTGGTCCGGTAAACTCCAGAGAGAGCGAGAGGCCTCGTGAGCAGACAGCGCGTGCGCAATTTCGCGTTCCGTCAGCGCCCCTCCCTTAAATAAAGAGATATTTTTTAAAAGGGTTCCATAGAGACTTTTCACTTCCGGTTCCATTTACACTATTCTGTGCGCGAAGCAACAATGGTGAGATATATATAGGACTCAGTGTAAAGCTGTACACAATCCTCCGAGTAGAGGCTTCTTTTGGCTGAAGAATCCCGGAATACCACTCAAAAATGTGTAATGCATTGATTTAAAATATTGATATCCGATATTTCCATATGCTAGGTAATCCAATTCAAAACACCACAATTTCTCCAAGAAAAGCAAGAACCACATTAATCTACTTTCAGAGCCCTGCAACAAAACAGCCCGAGACTACACTGCTGTGCCTTAAACACCTAGTTGTCAGGTAGACACTCAACAAGTGGTAGAAAAGAGTAAGAGCCCAGTAGCAGTTTAAAGACTAACAAAACTTGTGGCACTTCTTCAGATACAGCTAGAATAGGAGTCCATCTGTCCTATATACTGGAAAGTGGAGTGATTTCTGATGCCAAATGATATTAGCAGGCAAATGACAAATGATTAGGTGTGATATACAGAGAGAAATCAGATGGAGAAATCAGCACTGGTGATGAGACAGGAAACCTTGGTCTCAATTCAGTCCAGGTGGATACATTGTCTTGAGCTTTGTTATCAGTTGCAATTCAGCAGTCTCTCTTTCTAATCTCTCTTTGAAACCCCTTTGTTACAATAATTGCTACTTTTAGGTCAACAACTGAATGTCCTGGAAAGTTCAACAAGTAAAAACTGGTAACTACATCGCCTGTTCTGTGGGTCACTTAAAAGCACTGTCTGTAGCGTCACCGTTTTTTAATGTAAAGGCCACAGTTATTTCAAGCCTTTACCACGAAAGGGAGACCGCAATCTCGTTTTCTTTTCACATCCATTCCCATGCATTCATCGCTTGCCCCCCACATGGATGTCACAAAGTGCAGCTGGGAACCGGAGTTTTTGTAGAAAACCAAGACGACCGTGCCTCCTTATGACGTTATGCCAAGCGAGTCCGGAGCGGCCGTTCGAGCGGGTTAGTCAGTGTATCGGCGCATGAGAGGGTGGCGGGGTGGGTGGATTTCTTCTGGGCCTGGCTTAGCTCCTTAAGCGAACAGACGGCGAGCCTCAGCCACCAAGGCCAGGCTGGGCTTAGTGCTGCCTCTCTCCTTCACGCTCTTTGTGCCGCATAGGGGAGGGAAGCGGGTCGCAAACAGCCTGAACCTGCCAAGTCATAGAAGACCAAAGCCTGAAGACACTCAGGGCCGTGGGCAATGTTCCCTCTAAGCTGTGGAGTCTTGTGAGCAAAAATTCTACTTTGTGAGCTACTGGCATTAAAGCTGTGAGCGAGCGATTTGGCTACTGCATAAATTAGTTTGCTCTGGAGCCATCCTTCCTGGGCTAAGACAAAAATGTGTGAGCCAGAGGCTAAAAAACTGTGAGCTAGCTCACACAAACTCCGCTTAGAGGGAACACTGGTCGCGGGCTCCCGCTTTTGCTCCTTAAACTAGTTCTGTGTGCCAGACACCAGTCGTAGGGTTGCCAACAGGCCTGGAGACTAGTGGCCTCTGCCTTTAATAGACACTCGGTGTGTGGCAGCTGAAACTTCATAGCAGGGAGGTAAATAACATCCCACTAAGCCTCTATTGGAAGGATTTGAGCATTTTTGCTGTAAGTTGTTGGCAACTCTACCCAGACTCAGTTTTCCTGTCCGCCCGCCGCCACTTTTTTCATTTCCTTGTAAATGCTTTATTCCCCATCTGGCATTGAAATGTAAGGAGGTTGATAGTGTTATAGATATTGGCTGAATATTTATTTTCCAGCCCTTCAAGCATGGCATATGCAAAACTGTATGATTTGTCATTTCTGTGAAATGTAATACTGCCAGTGGACTTTTTGTTTAGGCTGTTTCTGTGCTGCCTGGTTAGAGTCCTGCTTGAGGTGGCTTAGAATTAAAATGCAGGGGTCATTTGGGGGGGGGACGCGGGGGGACGCCATCCCCCCGGGTGAGGTGCGGGAGGGCGGGGCCTGGAGCTCCCTGCTGGTGCCCGCTGGAGGTCGCCGCCGGCTGTGGGGAGGACACACTTCCGGTGATGTCAGGGGGTGTGGCATATGCTAATGAGTTATGCTAATGAGTCCCCCTAGCTCTTTTTCTACGAAATGACCCCTGTTAAAATGTAAAGAAGCCATTGAAAACAACCTATGGACATAAACAGCATAAACACTACCTATAAAACAGAACCAGACCATGAAAAATCTTTTGATGTACATCCTTTGATGTACAAGAGGAAACCCCAGATTAAAAGCCTGGGTTAAAAGATGTTGCTTGGCCTGGTACCGAAAAGAAAGTAAAGTAGGCACCAGGTGAGCCTCAAGGTGGAGGGCATTCCAGAGGTAACCTTTAGGCTATGCCAGAGCTCCAAGGAACTGGAACAAAAATGAGAAACCCACTGCCACTGTAAGAACACTTTCCTGGGAGTAAGGCCCATTGAGTAGACTTCAGTAGGACTCTACGTAGACCTGCTTAGGATGGCATTTTATTTCTCCTTATTCCACCATCTAGGCGCAAACTTACTGAATGATACTGAAGTTAGATATGATAACTAATAGAGACTAACAAGTGGGGACCTGCAAGAAACTTGCAGGAGTGGCTATACCATTTCCCCCATGTTTGCTTCCTCCCCTCTCCCTCTACTTCTCTCACATTTTTCCCCCTCCTGCCACCCTTTTTCTTTTTTTTCTTTTTAACAGTTTTATTAAGTAATAACTGCTGCCCTTTTTATTACTCTCCTCCATGCCTGTCACTACTGCTTTTTCTGCTCCCCACTCCATCACTCTCTGCCCTCCTCATTCTCCCAGCTGTCCACCTGCTTCCTACCCCCCCCCCAGCAGCAGTGGTGGCAGCAGCTCTCCAGGAATCGCAATGGATCTCCCAGCTATAGAGATCAGTTCCCATTAGTATTGCCAGCTCCAGGTTGGGAAATTCCTGAATATTTGGGGGTGGAGCCTTGGGAGGATGAGGTTTGGGGAGGGAAGTGACCTCACCAGGGTAAAATACCACAGAGTCCACCCTCTAAAGCGGCCATTTCCTCCAAGGGAACTGATCTCTGTCATCTGGAGATCAGTTGTAATTCCAGGTGATCTCCAGCCACTACCTGGATGTTGGCAATGGCTGCTTTGGAAGGTGGAATCTGTGGCATTATACCTGTCTGAGGTCAGTCCCCTCCTCAAACCTCACTCTCCCAGGCTCCACCCATCCAATCTTCAGAGATTTCCTAACCTGGAGTCAGCAACCCTATCTCCCACCCAGCCAGCACCCTACCTTTATCTGCTTCTCTGTCTTCAGTTTTCCATCTCTTTTCCGCTACAGCCTCTACCAAGGAAAATCATGCTCATTCTCCACAGAGGGAACCAAATCAGCTTACATTATTCTCTCCTCCTTTTTATCCGCATAACAACCCAGTAGGTTAGTCTGAAAGTATGTTACTAGTCCAAAATCACCCAGTGAGTTTCCACAGCAAGATGAGGATTCAAATATGGGTCGACCAGATTGTTCTGTGAAGCTCTAAGTGCTACACCACACTGGCTTTCATAGGTTGGCTGCTGTTGAACAGTAGCAGGCATCCATGCCTAGTTATGCAATTTGGGTGGTATCAAGTAACGCCTAGGGTTCTAGGTGGAACCTGGAGATCTCACAGCATTACAACTGAACTCTATACAACAGAGATCTGTCCCCCTGGAGAAAATGGAAGGTGGACTCTGTGGCATTATATCTGGCTGAGGTCTCTCCCCACCCCAAACCCTGCCCTCCTCAGACTCCACCACAAAATCTCCAGGAACTTCCTAACTCAGAGCTGGCAACCCTAGTCAGGTCTGGTCCTAATGAGTCCTCTCTCAAAGGCCAAAATAGGCCTGGAAAAGGCCCTGCCTCTTCCCCCTGCCTTTTACTGACAGAATCCAGCCTGGAATACTGTAGTTGCCTAGCAACAACCACTGAGGGAATCTGTTGCTTAAAGCTACAGGCACTCCTTTTATCATTTTTGGATTTTTTTAAACCTCCCTATTTTAGATTTCACATTTTTCTGCAAACTGGGCCCTTTTCAGGTTTGTAGAAAGATCTGTCTTGCCAGTTGTAATACAAGACAATTTGCATATCAGAACTGTGCTTAAGAGGTGGTATTGTGCGTGTATGAGTAACCGAGTGATATAACTTGTTTTGGCAAAACTCTTGGTGGTTCTTAGGGGCCACTCTGTTCTCTAGAAAATGAGTTGGAGGGCAGACCCAACCCCATTCCAAGTGATTCGGCTATAAGGTTACCTCACAGTAAGGTCTACACATATATGGAACACACAGTAGTAATCCAACTAGAGTGTAGCAAATAGCCTTCCTAAGTAGGAAGGTTTTGAACACTGCATGCAGACAAGCTCCTGGCTTTAATATCTACTTACTTAATGAGGTTTATTTTTTAAAAGAAAAACTTGCAAAATGATGATGAGCAAAGCAGCATATAACAAAAGACAGTAGAAAATTTGGTGGGACATACAGATTGTTCTGTTAATAAATTATTAAATCTTTAGACCCCCCCACCCCAAAAGAATGATGCATATTAATATCCAAATAAATCTGCAAATTCAAACCAAATATTCAGTACAGTTCACATTTTCTTCCTGTTTGTATAAGGTAATTCTTTATTTAATTGCAGAGTCAAGTGTTGCTTCAATCTGTATTTCATTGTGTAGTGTAAATTGCTTTCTGCTTTTAAACAGTTATTTTCTTAGCTGTTTTCATGACTCACATAATCCAGAGCTTTAGTCTTTTGTGAAGTTCCAGGGAGGAAGGTATATATCTCCATACTGAGGGATGTATGTCATTGCACGTCTCAGTGATTTGTGAGCTAAACCAATTCTATCAAAGGCCTTCTCCACATCTAGCAGTATGACCAAATGCAGAGCAAGCCTTCCTTTGGTAGCTGACATTATAATGACCAGCAGGTGATTTTGTGTTTTGAAAAATCTGGAATGCCTTTAAAATGTTGGTTAGTTTATATTTTAAGTACTCTGTTTTCACACACATATACCCTGTTTCCCCGAAAATAAGACCTACCCAAAAAATAAGCCCTAGCAGGATTTCTATGCATTTGTGGTATAAGCCCTAGTGTGTCTTCTTGAGAAAAAATAAATATAAGACAGTGTCTTATTTTCGGGGAAAGACGGTATATATATTTGAAAGTATAATTCTTTTTTCTATTGCATTTAAACAATAAATGTGTCTGTGAAAATGTGTTGTACATGTCTGCAGAATACACAAGAATTATCGTTATCTAATGCTGTAAACTGTTTTGTATCAGACAATTTCCTGGCATATTTTTGAGTGACTAAAATCTTGTCTTAAAAAGCATTTCAGTCATTCCAAAAGAGAAAATATTTCTTATGAGTTCTTTCCTTGTCCCCCCCCCCCCCAAATTTCCAATTTTTCTGATGGCACAATTGAAAAGGATGTCATGAGAAGAATAATCCATGTTCCCTCTAGTTTTTCCTCTCCAAATCCCAGAACTTCATATCTCCATGCTTATCAATTGTGTGCTACAGATATTTTCCTGATATCTGTAGAGAAGAGAAGAAGAAGAGAAGAAGAAGAGATTGGATTTATACCCCACCCTTCACTCAGAGTCTCAGAGCAGCTTACAAACTCCTTTCCCTTTCCCTCCCCACAACAGACACCCTGTGAGGTAGGCGGGGCTGAGAGAGCTCTTTCCAGAACTGTCCTTGAGAGAACAGCTCTAACAGAAATACGGCTTGCCCAAGGTCATCCAGCAGCTGCAAGTGGAGGAATGGGGAATCAAACCCGGTTCTCCCAGATTAGAGTCCATGAATTTAACCACTACGCCAAATTGGCTCTCAACAAAGGTGTGATGCATCCCCACCCCCCTTCAAGTATGTGTTTCGGTTATGCATGAAATAAAAATGTATATTTCCCCCCTTGTTCTTTCTTGTGCCTTATTTTCTTTCTCCCCTGCTCTCCACCCCTATTGTGTAAATACAAATTGGGGGGAGGGGGTGGAGTTTCTTGCTGATATTCCATTTTTATGAATTTAAGAGAGGGGAGGGAAAACTACATCTCCTCCCCCAGCTATCCCTCACTTCCCGCTCACTGGCTTTGTGATCAAGCTGAGGTCCCAGTCTCATATTGTGTTCAGGGATTTGGTTTGAGAGGTCAATGCTGACTGCCAAGCATTGAGTGGCCTGCCTTTAGGATCACATAAACTTAAAGAAACTAAAACGTTAGGGGGGAAATGGGTTTGCATGTTTGTTTGTAAAATAACACACTGTGTTGAATTCTCTTGCACAAGATGTATAATGGCAGAATATGCAGCTTCCAGCGAAGTAACTCTTAAGTCTCAATGTCTGAGTAAATAACAGAATAGTAATCTGTGGGGAAGGGGGAGGAGAGGGCCTATGGCTGCAGTGAGATGTGCCATTTGGCGTGGTCGAGAAACGCTCCGATTTCATCCGTTGGTATTTGGCACAGAGTTGCTCGGTCACACATCCCGTTTCATTCTGGGCTCAGCCCATCGTTGCATGATCAGACAGCACAGATGGGTGGGTTTGTTTGGTTTTTTGCCTGATTTTGCGCATGCGCATAAACGACAATGCAGGTTTTTGTACATGCACCTTTCAACTTCCAGAATCGAGTTGCTGCTGTCACAGCTCACCGATCCTTCCATGGAGCACTGATTCCTTTGGTTCACAGTGACCCATGGCTGCCTAACATAGATCACTCCCTTTCCTGCTCATTTTCACAGCTGGCCTGGAGATGGGGACCATTATGCTTTTATGCTCATATCACTAAATGGGAAAAAATGGCACCAAGGCGGGATGGCCTGAGTGTGCACTTGAGTGATCAGACTAGGGAAAATCTGCCCATGGCCCATTGGCAAGTGTTAGGACTGGACTTTCCCCGGTGTCTTTTAACTCTGTTTCTGTGGTGGGGCAGCACAGGGTGCTGACAGCTGCAGGACCTTTCCCAGGTTTTGCTGTCTGATCATGCACTTTAGATCCGTCAGGCATTCACAGCTAAGTTGGATCTAAAGGCACATCTGACCACAGCCTTAGTCACTTGTTGCAAGTTACTGGCAATAATTTGCCCATGATTGCTTGCAAACCACTTTGCAATTGAGCTGCTTGAGGCGGGCATCATAGGCCCCGGTCACACGAGTGGATTTGGGCCGGGAGAGGGACAGTTCGGGGCGGAGCAAACGGGCGCGATCCCACGGCAACATCTGGGAATCGTTGCCTGTCCATCCCCGATCCGTCCCTCCCGCCCAAAACCCCGCACCAAAAAAGAACCACCTACCTAGGTGGTTCTTCGGAGAAGAGCGCCTCAAGCCCGGCCGTGGAATCGCTGGCGCGTCCTTGCGCCGGCGCATCCCCAGCTCCTGGCCGAACTGCGCATGTGTGAGCATGCACAGTTCGCCAGCCTCCCCTTCTCACCGTCGCTTTCTCCCCGGCATCTGATCGTGCCGGGGAGCAACGGCGCCGCGGCTCAGGGGATCCGTGGGATCCCGCCGCGGCGTCTCTAATTCGGTGCGGCTTTTAAAAGCCGCGCTTTGGGCGCTTTTTTCCCTGCCGTGTGGCAGAGTTTCTAAGGTAAAATATATAGTGCCTTGTCTTCTCAGAAAATGAAGTATTCATGAAACAGCAAAGCTGTCTTCAAAGAAAACATTCAGACCATGGCGCGTATTTTTAAAAATTCAAATGTGTTCCTATTGCACAAAACCTTTAAAAATTAGAAAATAATCAATTGGAAGGGGTGTGCTTTCAGTTCAGCAGAACCCGTCTGAAACTCCCAAGTTCTCTTACCATCTTCTTACTTACAGAACTTGTTCTCAAAATGGTTTATTTTATTAATTTGGGTTTGTTTGTTTTTAGATTGCTGAAGGAACTTAAGCTTACATAGAGATCAAGTATGGGTGTGAAAAGCTTGCTGTGGTTTGTGACCAATGCCTGTCCGGGTGCATCTACAGTGGTAAATCTGAAAGAAATGGCAGAAAATCACCGCAGCAGTTACCCTGGATCTCCTCCTATTATTGTGGTAGATGCCATGTCTTGTCTTCGACAGTGGTACACACCAGAATCTTGGGTGTGTGGTGGCCAGTGGCGAGAATATCTTTCTCACCTGGATAAGTTTATAAATACCTTTACTGCAGCAGGTATCAAGCTGGTATTCTACTTTGATGGAGTGGTGGAACAGAAGAAACGAGATGAATGGGTAAAGCGGAGACTGAAAAATAACAAAGAAATAGCCAAGATCTTTCAGTTCATCAAGACTAATAAACAGCAACCAGGCAGACAAATGTTCTTTATTCCATCTGGTTTGGCTACTTTTACACGCTTTGCCTTGAAGTCCCTTGATCAAGAGGTTGTATGTTCATTGCAAGAGGCAGATTATGAAGTGGCCACTTATGGACTCCAAAACAATTGCATGGGAATTCTTGGCGAAGATACAGACTACCTGATTTATGACACATCCCCATATTTTTCCATTAATAAACTGTGCTTGGATAGGCTGGAAACAGTTATGTTCTCAAGGCAAAATCTCTGCAGCAGGTTGGGCTTACATGTAACTGACCTTCCACTATTTGCCTGCCTCCTTGGAACAGATATTGTTCCAGAAAGTGCTGTGGAAGGTTTCCGGAATCAGTGTGTAGCTTCATTCTGTGCTAAAAGCCATAGGTCTGATAAAAGGACTAACACAATTCTGGCTGTAGCAAATTATATCTCCACAATTCCACATTCATATAATAGCTTGAGGGTTTTTGAAGAAATGTTACCTTTGGGATCAGACAAATCTATACTCACCAAAGGAATACAGTCTTATCTTCTGCCTGGGCAGCAGTCTCCATGGCTTCCGTGTGACTTTTCACATTTTCCAGCAGCATCAGTCAAGCAAGTAATGCCTTTGTCTCTAGATCAGGAGATCTTTCAGGTAACTAATCTCTTGAAGTTCCTCTTCATATCGTGTTCCATGGCCTCTTTGTAACATCGATCTTTTTGTCCTTTTCCCTCTCTTAACTGCTTAAGTAAATTCTGAAATCCCAGAAAATGTAACTGTAATAGCATGTAGCAGAATTGCAGACTCCAGAGTGAAATATTTTTTTTAGTAGTGTGATAATTCTTGGATAATACATTTTTGGAGATGTTTACCTAAAACTGCAGAGTTTTCATACCTTTTGAAAGCCTTGGAAACAGTAATAAAAAGAATACAACACCTGCTCAGTTCAGACGGATTTGTTTCCTGATGAGAATGCTTAGGATTGCAGATTTTGGCCTAAGTGATTTGAGCAGTTAAATTTTAAATGTCTTCAGCCCAAGATTTATAGTACAGCTTTGTGTAAGGTTGCCACCACCTGTCTGTACTGTTTATGTTGATAACTTGGAAGCTCTGTCTGCAATAAATAGAAAGTATACTATGGACAGAGATTGTCTACTGACAAACTTCAGTGGGTGCTGCCCCTCAGGTTTGAAAATACGTGTTTGTTAAGAAAGGGGCTCTGGCAGGCTTTACAGAGCTACTGCAATTATATTTTTAAAAAGAATGAATGAGATTAGCTTTTTATAGAATGCATTGTTTGTTATCCTGCCTCTGAAAATTGAAATTGCTGTATATATAGTATAAAGGTAGTATAGTGATCATTAACCATTACAGTGAACCATTGCCTGTTTACAAATATGAATTGATTTTATTGTTATAATGTGGCTGCAGTAAGCATCTTGGCTTTTTGCTCCACTGACTCAGTTAATAGTTGGGCTGTCTATAATTCACAAGGTTAAAAGGTAGATTCAGGTGGGTAGCCGTTTTGGTCTGAATCAACAGAACACAGTTTGAGTTCAATGGCACCTTTAAGACCAACACGGGCAGGAAAATGCAGGGGGGGGAGCGTGGCTGTTTGCCCCGGAGCAAAATAATGCACGGTTGCACGATCAGACGTCCCGTCGAGGACCTCTCGAGGTCCTGTGTTTAGGGGGGAGGTGCCGATCACACCACCATCCGGCAGCGCGGCAAAGAAGCCGTTGGGCGCTTGTGCACATCCTGTGGAGACTTGGGGGGAAAAACCCTGTTCGCGACGGGACATGAGCGGGTGCCGGATGCCACGGGATTTCTCAGGAAACGTGATCAGGCGCCCACCCTTGCCCCGCGGTTTCTGGAAACTAGTACCTTGGCGGTACTAGTTTTTTACCCCGCATCTTCGGCGGGAAGCCTTGGGTTCGGCATGGGAACTCTACGCTTCCCAGATGTGGTGGTGTGATCGGGCCCGGAAAATCCGCCTATCTTCCATCTCTGTAGCGTGGCTAATGTTCCGTGTGACCGCAGCCAAAGTTTAATTCTGGGTATAAGCTTTTGTGTGCATGTTGCTGTTGGCAGCTTGCCATGATTGGCTGTCATTACTGCAACCATTGTTAACAGATGCTTGCCACTTTGAGAGTTTCATAATCATAGATACCAGCTAAGGAGCCCCGACATACATCCCATGTGCAGCATGACTCAGATTTTTGAATCAAGGTTAATTGAATTTTGAACTTCAGAACCATGTTATTTGCCATCTACACAGAACCTTGCATGGCATATTGTGAATTGTAAATAGGTGCATTTGAGTTCACTAGGCTTATTTCCAAGTAAGTGTGCATAGGATTTTAGCCATCCTTGCACTGACTGTATGGGAAGACATGTACCTGATGATGCTTCAAGCTGAGACTGACTTATTGGGCCTTGGCCATTAATTGTTTGTTATATGGTGGTTGTTTCCTGTGTTGCTTCAAGGCTTTTATCTTTGCATAAGAGACCATTTGTCCTTTCCTTTTTGTGTTAAATTGTCAGTTGTCTCCTGAAGCCCTTAGGAAAGGCTGGGCTGTAAATGACAATAACCAAAATAAATAATAACTTTGTCTCCCTGTGAACAGATAGCCAAAGAACAGCATGTACGAGCTGAAAGCTACATGGTGTATAATGTCCTGAGTGGTGGAGAGGTTGAGTGCAGCAACACATTGGAAGATGAATACGATACTGAGCTCCCTGGACAGGCGCATATCTACTGCCTTGCTCGTCAGCATATCTATTCTGTCCTATTGGAGTCTGGAAGAGGTAAGGACTATCTTGGAACTTCAGGCAAAATTAGGCAGTATGTCGGAAATCTGATCTCAGATCTCTTGTTCCTTTAAGCTTCTAAAGACATTATCAACCTATCCCCCACACATATTTTGATCAGGATCATGAGGCGGGGTGAGGAGGTGACTTTTTCCCTATGAAAATCAGCCCTATGACAGTACTATTGGCCTTACCAGGGAAAATATCTCTGCTGCAGGGAAACAGCTCTGCTTGGGTATTGGCTTAAATAAAACAGACATACTTAAACTTTCACCTAATCTCACAGTCCAAATTGGGGTCTCTCACAAACTGCTGTTTATAAAAATTTTAAAGAAAGTTGCTTTTTGATCACGGATCTCCAGTGCCTTGACTGGTTTGGTTGTGTTACATGCAGAATTATCCTAAGTTACAGCACTGCTTAGGATGGCACTGATAGAAAGTGAAATAGACTTAGGGACTTCTGGTGGAGATGTAACGGCAGGCTGGTGTCTTCACGGGGAGTGAAGTTACAACGCAGCTAATTACTGACCAGGAGGGATCTCCAGTTGGCAAAATCTCCCTAGGTTAAGGGAGATCAAAAGAGATAAACCACAGGTACCTCTTTAGATTGCTCCTTGGGTGTTTACTGCTGAAGTGGACACTTTGTAGACACCTCCTGGGCGAGAGCGTTCTGAGGTCTTGGAAGTTACGATCTTGCTCCTGGCTGCATTTGGAACCCTGATAAGGACTAAAGCCTGGCCGTGCTGCTTCTTGAGATTTATGGACTTAATTATCTACTGCCAAAGAGAGATTTTCTTGAAGACAAAAGGAGACAACTTTTGCTAAGGTAATCTCTCTCATGGGTCTATAAAAACCGTTTTGAACTGCAAAAAAACTTTTTGAAATAGTAACTTTGGGGAAAAGTGTTATTAAGAAATCAGGAAAGTTAAATTTGATGTGGGATTAATAATGTTTCCCACTTTTGACTCTTAATTTTTAATTTTATTTTTGGTGAAAGTTCACATGCATGAAAGTCTTTTTGGCTGAGAAGATAATCTGCTGTGAGAATGTTCTTGTATTTTCTTTTAAAAAAAATTTAAATTATTTTCTCAGAAAAAGGTGGGATACAAAAGGGAAAAGGGGCTGGGGGGGGAATATAAATTCATCAGGTCCTGTATTTTCTTTAAAGGCTTATTCACTATTGGATAAGATGCTGAGGTATTTGGGGACTATTTGACCTTGGCTGCCATAGTGATGTGAAAACACTCTGGAGCACCTGTTTTGGTGTTTTTTGGTGGTGGTGTTGCCACACAAAACAGCTAAAAGTGAAACTATCTGATTTTCAATCGCTCTCTCTATTTCTATTTCCTTGCATCTTGAGTTCTACTTCATAATGAATACCAGAAAGAATCTTGACAAGAAGGGTTTATTAGACCAGCCTGTTACATCAGGTATGATCCGGAAACTACTCAAACAAATGGGATGTAGAATAGAGAATAAAATAGAGATTCTGGGAAGCAACAGTGATGCCTTGGAGAGAAGAATGGATGAGAGTTTTAGAATACCCAAACAAGAAACCAAAGGTGAGGTGAAAAACCTTGAAGTAATAATAGGGCATCTCACAGAAGAAGTTAAGCAAACTAATGATAAAGTGGCTGTTGCAGCAAATATAATGGAAGAGACTGACAAAGAACTTGAAAGGCATTTGGATTTGTTCGCTCTTATGGACTTGAGAGAAATGCAACATTGTCTGACGTTGAGTGACACCCAAGAAGAAATTGATGAAGATATCAGAGAGAGGATTACACTACTTTTGGCAAAAATTTTTACAAGAGGAAGAGGTAGATATGGAATTTGCAGAAGATTCTAAAGACTAAGTTTAACCTGAAAACAGACTTTGCTAGGTTTAATGGACAATCATTTGAATAGAATTTGATTACAGCAATGGAAATGACCTTCGCAACCAAATGGAAGAGTTCAACAATACCTACAGTAGAAGAATGGCTGGAGAAGATGTTGGACTTCGTAGCTGTGGTTAAATTTATAGTATTGGTTAGGGAAAAGATAACTACTTCATTTATCAGAGATTAGATAGACCTTTTGTATGAAATAGGTAAGGATGACTTGATGATTTTCACTTTTTTTAATAAGAAATTTGTTTTAAGGGGAAATAAAAAGAAAAACTTCTTGTATTTATATATAAGCAAGGAAAATATAATAATCAAAATTATATTTGTTGTAGAGAAAATCAGAAGTCTTTTACATTTCCCTTCCATTTTTTTCTTTCTTCTTCTTCTTTTATTTCCTTTTTCCCTTTGTGGGTCCTTGTTTTTCTTTCTTTTTGTATGTTTCTTAGTTTTAATTCTCTAATAAAAATAAAAATTAAAAAAGAAAAGTGAAGTAGACTTGGAAGCAAAGTGCACTGATTGAACCATACATAGACTTTTCAGAAGACAATTGTGAACTGCAAAATCTCTAACTCCAAGTTTGGGTGTCTTGCATCTGTATGAAATTTAAGCCTTGATGTTGTGGGCAATATACATGTAATTAGTAAGAAGGAGACTATTAGAAATCATTAAAGTTAGAATGATGTGCACATGCATGTCAGTGCGCTTTTGAGCCTTTTAAGGAGCCATAATAAAACACTCATGAAAACTCTTAATGATCAGAATGCTGGTTAAAATAGGCTGTGAAGTAGCAGTCATTCCAGAGTGAAGAAGCCTACAATAACTTCTCAAAAAGTGTTTTATGGACCTGAATATAACAGGCAATTTGGCAATGAGTTGAACTTCTTCTGTATTCTAACGGGACTTGAGTCTTGTGACAATAAATGGTTTCATGTGATTGGTGTAGCTCATTATTTTACCTCAGCCTTATTTGGAGAGCCTACTGTTTTGAGAAGAAAATGAATTTAGGGGGTTGTTATCCTTCTGCCTTTCCATTCTGCAGTTACACGTTGGCAGTTGTGTCACTGTGTACCTTAAACTTGTGCTATTTTATTATAATAATATAATTATAATTACTTATTTTTACTATTTATGTAATGAATGGATTTCAGTAAAAAGTAACATCCAGATGTTATCTTAGTTGGATATGTTTCTATTTTAAGGGCAGTTTCATACATTTTGTAAATGAGTAGAAGAAAAAAAATGTTGGTTAGGACTGTGTAGTTAGATCCTGTGGATGTTCTGGTGGTGAAAGCAGTTCTTAATCCGCCTTCCACTTCCCCCAGCTGTCCCCATTGCCCATTAAAAAGGCATTCTCAGGGGTTGTGGTTGTGGGAACCTTGCAGACGGAAAGCCACATGAGTCCAAGGAGCTGCAGTGAGGAGGATATAGGGTTGCCAACCCTGGGCTGGGAAATCTCCTAGAGATTTGGAGGTAGAGCCTGAGGAAAGTGGGGGTTGGGGAATGAAGGGACTTCTGGGGAACTGATCTATGTTATCTGGAGATTGGTTGTGATTCCGGGAGATCTCCAGGCCCCACCTGGAGGCTGACAAGCCTCAGGGGAGTGTCAGGTGTAATCCCATCTCCCTCTCTCTCACTCTTCCTCTGTCTCTTTCTGTTATATTTTAGGTATGTAGATCTGTACAAGAGTCCATTAGGACAGTTAAAGTGCAGAGATACAACCTGCTAAATGCATTGATTTCAGTGGACTCAAAAGGGTGTAAATCTTTTTAGGATTGCACTGTAAATAGCCACATCTTTCCCAGCTTTGCCTTCATTACATACATCTACACTGGTTAAGTGTTGGTTTCGAATCTTCACTCATGCCATGGAAGCTTGCTGGGCAGTTTTGGGCCAGTCACACTCTCTCAGACTAACCTACCTCACAGGGTTGTTGTGAGGATAAAATGGAGGAGAGGGGAATGATATTTGGGTCCCAATTGGGGAGAAAGGTGGGGTACAAATGAATTAAATAAATAATAAATATGTTATCCTTGTACTTTTTGTGGCACTACTATCTTGCAAACTACCAGTTCTTTCATTTATTTAATTGAACCATTTTTCTGTCTTTTAGATATCCATGGAGCTTTTCCTATAGTAAAGGAGTGGTTTGTATGTGCCGGGAATTCCCTGCAGCAGCCAGATCTGATACAGCCCAGACAACTCCCAGGTAAAATCATGCTGTATTGAAATTTGAAGTCACTGTATCTGACAATGCTTTGTAAAAATATGCCATCTTTATTTTTATGTTGTTTAAGATGTTTTTGTTTTGGAGATCTAGATAGCTCCAAGATGTTAACTTATATAAGGGTATTTCATGTTTATTTATTTAGCTTGTCAGTATGGCTAAAAATCCTTCTTGGTAGCTTACAGTACATAAAATAGCAAACCCCCTAACAATCCTTCTCGGTAGCTTACAGTACATAAAATAGCAACCCCCCTAACATTTCACATAACATTTCACATATTCCCACCCTCTCCTGGTAAGTCCCCTCACTGGCCAGCTGATTAGTGGCAGGGGTGAGGCCTGGAGGCAGGGGATGCCCCATCTCTACTGGGGGGGGCGGCTGGAAACTCTAGCTTATATATATGTTTACCAATAATATGTGGATGGTACAGATCAGACAATTGCACAACAGGGCAAGCTGTGGCTAAGGTACAACCCCAGATAAAAAACGAAATAAGCGTTTAAAGAAAGTGTACTTTTTTTAAAAAAAAGTTCAAGCAGGATATTGGGTTGTTACATAATATGCCAGGCAAAGGCTGCCACATTAAGAACTGGGGCTGTAGCTGGCTCCAACTTGCCCCTCACCTCCTTGCTCCCCTACACCTTGCCAAGAAGGAAACAGCTTCATTGCAAGTGCCCAGGTAGGAAAAGTGGGCAAGGGAGGGAAGAAAACAAGCTTGGATGGGTGGCCAAGGATGACAATAGTAGGACATGGACAAGGGGGAATTTGGAGGATGGAGAAGCAGAAACATTGGGGAGGAATAGTGCAGACTGAAGTGAAACCAATGAGAGACAGTGTGGGGGAGGGAAATGAAAACAGCAAGAGTGGGGGGAAACCAAAGAAGGAACTAGGGGAAGAAGTAGGGGGCAGCAAGAGAATGTGTTCTCCTCTTGTTTAAAATACATTGCCATTTGCTTTTTGGAATAAAATGTACTGGCTTCCTGAAGCTCAAAGCTGAGTGGAACTCTTGCGTCTCTTTATGGAGAGAATTCAACAGCCAAGGTGTTGTGACGTCCTGGGAAACCTTAACCCCTTCTTTCAACCCTCCAAAAAGTTTTAAAAGTTTTTTTAAAAAAAACCCACAACAAAAGGAAATAAGTATTTTATTTAACAATTACCAAATTCAAAGACAAAAATAAGTACTAATTAATAGTAATAATGAGAGGAAAGTGAAGTGCTTGAAATGAGAGGTTATAAAATGTCCAGACCTGGATAGCCCAGGCAGCCAGGCTAGCCTGATTTCACCAGATCTTGGGAGCTAAGCAGGGCTGGCCCTGATTAGTATTTTGATGGGAGACCGCCAAGGAATATCACTGGTGCTACACAGAGGCAGGTAATGACAAACCACCTCTGAATGTCTCTTGCTTCGAAAACCCTGCGGGGTGGCCATAAATTGGCTATGACTCTACTGCAAGAAAAAAGCTGTCCTAGAATCCCTGGAACCAAAAAAAAGAACACCACTTGGCAAAAAATAACTTACAAGCAAATAAGCAAGTGTATAATTCTTATTTGTATATGCTTTGAATTTGCATTCAGTCCCATTACAGCCATACTTGAATAAGAATAATTCGAAACGCGACTTCAGGCATCCGGATTACGCGTCGGCTTTTGATGGCTCAGAGGCTTTTGATGGCTCAGAAAATTTGATGATTGGCACTCCAATTTGGACTTTGATATTGCCTCTATGCTGGAGAAGACTGTGACTGATTTATCATTGCACTTTGGCCTATTGATTTATATCATACTTGTTGTTATGCTTATTTGATTTACATTATACTTGCTGTTATGCTTATTTGATCATTATACACTTGCTTATTTGCTTGTAAGTTATTTTTTGCCAAGTGGTGTTCTTTTTTTTGGTTCTTGCATTGTACACTGGCTTCCCCCCCCCCCCTTTTTTTTGGCTGCTAGAATCCCTGGAGGCTGCTTGCAGGACCAGTGGGTTTCACAAACAAAATTTCTATTTCCATTGAAAATTCTGATCTAAAAGGTTGCATTTCCATTCTCTAGCAGAAGCTGTACACCAGAGCAACTAAGACAGTTTCCATCTTGAAATTAGGCCTGAATAATCTAGATAATCAATTTCAACCAAGAATCTCTGGGGTTTTCCCCCACAGGACTGTATCTCTGTAACTACCTAGGTGTACGTTCATTATACTTATAAACTCAAACCTTCCATTTAATAGGCTTTTTGCAGAATAATAAAATTCCACTGGGATAACCTTATTATTCTGTTGTACTGAAACAGGAGAACAGCTGTGGTAACTGAAAGATTATAAATTATAACATGCCATAAGCTTTCATGGGGCAGAACCTGTTTTGGCAGATGTGTCTCATTGTCTTCAATGAGACTGTTATGTACCTGCTTAAATTACATGAATGGCATGTCAGATGCATACTGATGTTCAGCCAACCTGTATATAATTTGTTCTGCGCATGGGGACTACGGCATATGCAAGTACAGCGGAGGTGTCTGCATTGCATTGGTTAGGCATGATGAAGGGGTACAATCAGTTTCAGAACATGTTTCTAATCTCTCAGAAGAACTTTCTGTAAGGGAATTCCCTTCTTGGAGAGATGCAATAACTCTGGCAGGTAGTTCTCTGAAGTTGCTTGTAAAACATATTTTGTGGCTCAGTATTTTAAAGAATTTTAGCCAAAAATGATCTGGAAGCAAGGCTATAACACAAGTTCCCTCTCAAACATATTTGCTACTAATTCGGTAATGAACAAAACCAGTTCTATTTCTGTGCAGACTAGTAAAGAAGGACTTTCAAAGTTTATTTTTAGTGTTCTGTTCCAAAACAATTTGCAGTCCATATTTGTATAAATTCTCTCTTGAAGCTTTTCTTTTCCACAGCATGAATCTGCAGCTTACCAAATAAGGAGCTTGACAGTGGGTTGCTTTTAAATTACAAATGCTATGCTTGGCAGTCGTTATATTTCAAACTCAGACTGGTCAAAGAAATTGATAGGAACAGGCATTTAACACTTGCTTACTTGTTTTAAAAGGATTGTTGGAGCATTAATATATTTGTACCTATTCCTCCATACCTTTTGTCTTTTGCTCTTAAAGGGAATGAAGCTATGTGTGAAATCTTGCTCCACTGACATGAATGATGAACCATTGATTTCAATAGCACCATAATTTTACTCTCTGCCTTCCTACCTCTTTGATCAGTTCATGATATTGTCTCCGGAAACACATGGTAGATACTGCAGGAAGTTTTAATTAGGATCAGTGAAGAAGTAATGGAAGCCTGATTTAAATGAGATGCTGGTATGGCAAAGAACTGACCATATGAATTTGCGTGGGCTCAGTATTTTGTTCAAAATGTGCTGTAACCCATGCAAAGCAGCTATGCTAAGCACGCATAGCTTTACACAGGTCTCAGCACAATTTAAATAAAACACTGAACATGTCCAAAAATCACACAGGGGAGCTCTTTTTGCCTTGTTAGCATCTTATTTAAATTGGACCTAATAGTTGAATTTTAGTGCCTAGATGCAGGCAATACTCCTGTCCCATTTTTCTGCCATGTAAGGGACAGTTGAAATATGTTCAAATAGATCATTTGTATTTGCAGTTGTTAACACAAGTGGCCTACCTCAATATTGGGGGAAATTAGCTATGAAACAGAGGAGGCCAGAAGGGTACAAGAGATAGCACACCTTTATATACCAAGGTGTATATATGCGTGAAATCTTGTATGCATGAAATCAGTATGAAGACTCCAGATTTAAAGAGTATTCAGTGGTTTTATTAGAAAATATCCCTGCATAGAATCACACTAAGCAATCAAAATATACACGCAATCTAGAAGTAAGAAATAAAGAGGTGATGATAGAGACATTTTGGAACAGTTATAGGGGTTATACTACCTGTCCAGATGTGCAGACGCCCGTGTAGAAGAAAGCACAAACAGCCAGCGTTTCACGTGGAGAAAAAGGAGACCCCCAAAGTAGAGGCGTTGGCAGAGTACCATATTGTAGGCGCCCTCAGAATGCACACTGAGGTGGAGCTTGCCGTCACTTTTTATAGGAATTTGAGGGGTGGTCTCCCAGGCCGTGGCTTGATGACAATAATGACCATTGATGGTCTTAGTGGGGCAGATTGAATGGGTTTTATGACTGTTGAGGGTCCTACCAAGGTAGGTTGAATGGGTTCCCAGGCTTAGACAAAAGGGGGAAATGGGTCTCCGATAGGTATCAGGAAGAATCGTTGATGATTTAATCAATTTGATAAATTTGTCTCGATATCCTGGGGGGGGGGCAGGATGAGCAGGTGTTGAGACAAAAGATTTCCACATAGACATAGATATCACACAAAAGAGGATTATATGAGGGTATAGAGACAGAGAAAGTTCTCCAGATGGCTACTTAATTGCTATGGAAATGCAGACACTCTACCTGAAGGAACTCATGGTCATTCCATATACATACCTTTGCTGGGTGGAGGGGGGGATGTTGGAGTTTGCCCTGGAGGGCACCTTGTGCAACTTTAGACTGAAACTCTTTGCAGAGCTTAGCTAGCTCTTTGGCACAGGTCAAGAGGGTTCTCTTTGGCCTGGTTCTGTGGGTCTCTGGTTCAGGTCGGAAGTGGAGTGCCCTGCTGTTGGGGCTACCCCATGAGCAAGGCAGCGTCTCTGAGTTACACAGTGTGGTGACTTGTGAGCCACAGTGGCTGTAGCTGTGCTCACCCCAAGCATGTGATCAGAGAGAATATTGGGGAGAACCATCTCCTCAGTGTTCCCACTGCCTAACACAAGCCTTTGTCACAACCTGCCCATTCCAACATGTCTTGACAATGAATCTCACGGAAGGACCCCTCAGTGCTGCACGTAGGGCTATCAGCCCTCTCCTGTTGAGGTACCCAGGTGCCCACCTAGCACTTCACCTGAAGCAGTGGCTTGAAGTAGGATGGATTTTCTTCTCTCCATTA